ATCAACACTCAGTCAGGCAAAAGATGAACTGCACTGGGAAAATGTGCTGTCATGGACCACTCCAGAGTGCTGAAAAACAACGATGTCAATCTAGAGACAAAGGTGCTCCTAATCCAGGCCATGGTCTTCTCAGTTACTTTTTATGCTTCAGAGAGCTGGACAATGACTAAGGATGACAGAAGAAGAATAGATGCCTTCTAGTTGTGGTGCTGGAGATGAGTCTTGAACATACCATGGACTGCCAAGAAAACAAATAGGTCTGTTTTGGGAGAGGGTGAATCCAAATCTCTCCTTGGAGGTGAGAATTTTGAAGCTCCATCTCACATACTTTGGGCATGTGGCCAGGAGAGACTGGTCCTTGGAGAAGGACATCAAGCTCAGAGGGGAGAAGGGACAGTGCAAGAAAGGAAGACCCAGATGAGATGGATTGATACAGTATCTGGGGCAATGGGCATTGGTGTGTTGGAATTAGTGAGACTGGCTCAGGACAGGGAAGAGTTCGGAGCAGCTGTACATACGGCCACTATATATTGTGGGTGACTCAAGGACTCATAACAACAACAATATACTATATTGGTTGGTTTTTTAAATTTAAGCTTCTTGTATAGAGTCAAAAAGACCTCAAGGAGGGCCTCTGTATTTAAAAGTCAGATGTTATTATATTTTGGAGGAACATTCTTCTAAATAGTACATCACTCTTCTGTCAATATGCTGTACTGAAGTAACCTGGGGTGCTGTGATGCTGAACCTTGTGCCACTAGGGTGTCAAATGCCATAAAGGTTACCCACGGTGGACAGTTTTTGGTGGAGCTCCCAGTTTAAGACAAGTTTGGTAGCAGAGGGGGCATCCACTTTCTAAACAACATTTCTCTGGAAACTATGAACTTTGATAAACGACTATAGTTATAGAAAGACTTCAGGCCTTTTTGTTCATAGGTTATCTATGAGTTGTGCTCAACTCGATGGCAATCAACAACAGCAACAACATTGTCTCTTCCCATAGCTATCGCTGGTGTGATATATTCCACCTAGTGAGGCTCATGCATATAGTCACTGTTTATACATCAAGGTTGTTAACCATGCAAAATTCTATCACTCAAGCTCCAGCATCATTTCTATTGCCAAGGTCATATTCTCCAACTCATATTCTTTCTTTTTATACTATTTTCTTTACAAAATTCAAATACATTGTTTTTCATACACCAGATCATTCCCATTTCTCTCATTCCCTCGCCCCATCAAATTGTATTAATCATGGGGTTGTTCAATTTGATTGGGGATGGGTGGTAAGGAAAATTGAAAGAATCTGTTCTTGAAAATAATGTGTTAAGTATAAAATTTAAAAAAGTATGACCCCATAATTAATCCCCCCCATTTTCACCTATCTGCTTATACACTCCCCCCTCTTTAGATCCTCACACTCATTCTGAAAAAAAAAAAAGTTTTATACAGTATTTGTTCTTTTGGGACTGAGTTAGTTCAGTCAGCATAATGCTCTTCAGTCCCTCTCAAGTTAGGTGGTAATTTTATACTGGTTTACAACTTTATACTGGTTCATAAAGTTCATATACATTGTTTTTCACACTGGACCATTCCATCTTTCTTTAACAGTCCCTCCCTCCACACACTGTTCTTTAACTTTTGCATTCAATCATAGGAAATTGTCAACACATTGAGATTACATGTTTGATCAATTTCAGATTGCAGCAGTTTGTAAAAATCTTCTATTTCACCTTTGGCATTAGTATTTGATACCCAAATTTGAAACATGTTGTTGGGTGCCATTGAGTGAGGTATGATTCATCGTAATCTTATGGACAACAGATCTGAACTTTGTCCTATTCTGTGCCATCTTCATCATTTCTAAAACACTTTGTTACAGTCTTTGTGTCAACACATCTCATTGAAGGTCTTCCTCTTTCCCTCCACCTTTTTAAGCATTATGTTCCTCTCCAAGAAATAGTAACTTATAGCAATATGCCCAAAATATGTGAAATGAAGCTTTGTATCTTTGCCTCTAGGGAGCACTCTGGCTGCCCTTTTCTCAAGATATACCTTTTTGCTCATTTGGCAGCCCATAGGATATTCAGTACAATTCTCCAACATAAGAGCTCAAAGACATAAATTCTTTTTCTATTATCCTTATTCGTTGTCCAGATCTCAGTTGCACAGCAAGTGATTGAAAATACCATGACCTGAATAAGGCATACTTTAGTCTTCAAACTGACATCACTGTTCTTCAGTAATTTGGAGAGTTCCCTGACAGGAGACTTGCCCAGAGCAATATGTCACCTGATCTCCTGGTGAACCAAGGGTGCTGACTGTGGATCCAAGTAGGATGAAATTGTTGAAAACATCCATCTATCAATGATGTTGCTTATCCAGTCTTGAGGATTTTTGTCATCTTGAAATCTAAATGAATCCACATTAAAGGCTGTTGTTCGATCTTCTGCAGCAAGCATTTCAAGTCCTCCTCACTTTTAGCAATCAAGGTTGTATCATCTGTATAATGCAGGCTATTGATGAGTCTTCCTTTGATTTTGGTGACACATTCTTCTTCATAGAGTCCAACTTCTCGAGTGATTTGCTCAGAATACAGACTGAATAGGTATGGAGAAAGGATAAAATCCTGATGCACACCTTTCTTGACTTCAAACTATGTAGTGTTCCCTTGCTCTGTTTGGACTACAGCTTTTTATCTAGGTATAGCTTTCTTTCTTATGAGCATAATTAAGTGTCCCAAGATTCCCATTCTTCTCAATGTTAGCCACAATTTGTGGTGATCTACAAAGTCCAATGCCTCTGCACAGTCAATAGAGCACAAATATACATCCTTCTGGTATTCTCTGCTTTCAGCTATATATGAATATGACATTAGCAATGATATTCCTGGTGCCATGATTTCTTTTACATCAAGTCTGAACATCTAGTAGGTCTCTGTCTATGTACTATTTTAACCATTTTTGAATGATCTTCAGTAGGGTTTTGCCTTCATGTGATATAATTTCCATATTTTGTTGTATCACCTTTCCTTTTTTTATACATTACACTTTCCAGGAGAGATTTTATTTACACATTTGGGAAAAAAAGGATCTTTTTGTAATCAATCAGATTATATTTCATACATTCTAATTTTTTAAATTTTTTCCATGATTATGGTGTTTAATTGGGAAGTCAAAAGGTACAATTCAGTTTGGCAGCAGGAATAATTTCTCAACCAGGACAGCTTCTGAAATGTTCTCTTAGGCACTTCATTCAGCCTTCAGCCTCATGGTTTTAGGCCAGTGTTACAAAACTCTTTGTCTTACCAATTATGGCATCTTTCCCGAATCCTTCAACAAACTTAGGCAGAGGTTCCTGGGTTTAATGTCATAGGGTAGCAGTTCCAAGTCAGCTCTGTCTTACTCCCGGATCTGGCTCTCTGCTGTGTCAGGCCCAGGTCTGAGCAGAACAGAAATCTTGGGCCTTGAAGGACATGCACTCTGCATTCTCTGCCCCTTCTTTGCTAGTAGTGAGATTCTTAATTTCTGCTGCTGAGTCCACTCAATTTAATGGTAAGACTAGCCAATTACCTTGTGAGAAGACCTACCCCATTCTCATGACCCTGCCCATCCATGTAGCAAAGTCAAGCTCAATAGCTAGGAACAATGAACCCTTGACACCACATACTACTCCTGGCTTTTCTAGCTACTACCTTCCATATTTTAAGAATTAATTAACTTTCCCCCTATAATCATCTTACTACTAACTATAATTGTGAAAGCGTGTAAGTCTTTATGTCTCATGCCTTAACATTCTCATTTTTGATAGCCAATTTTTTATTTTCTTATTCCTATTGTCCAGTACTCTGAGGGCACAAGTATATCCCTTTTGCTGAAGAATCTTCTGTCAGTTTGGAAACTTTGAGCATCTGTATCCACAAAGCCCAGTCCAGAGAAATTAATAATTTTGCATCAATCAACACAAGCTCACAGTGTGAATAACCTTCTCTTCAGCTGGTTAAGTCCTATTCAACTCATTCCCAGCCAGTCATGGCTAGGTCCAAATGGGTATTAGCTATAAACTCAAGAGTCCACATTTCTCCATGAGTTCCAGACTGTCTGGTCCCTTCACTCAGCCCACATGGGGCCACATCAACAAGCCAGAAGTCCTTATGATACCTCATCCTTGAGCTAGCAACCCTTTTTCTTTTATAAATATATCTGTGCATGCTAGGTGGACAGTACTGAAGGAACACATCCAAGCCTGGCCTGTCTCTTCATTGCTGCATGCCTCCTACATCCACTTCAGTGGATCTAGGGAATCGTCATTCTTGGTAATGGTTACAAACTGGATCTCTTCCAGCTAGTTGGCCAAGCAGCTGTCCTGTAAATTTACTGGCATTATGTCATCATGGCAAATTTACTGGTGATCATGTCCAGGGCTGTATCTGTTAGCTGAAGCATGTCAATTGGTATTCCATTGATTTCTGGGGCTTTATTTTTTTGCCAATGTATTTCAGTGCCAATCAACTCTTTCTTGTAGGTATATAGATATTATCCCATCACTAATGGTACTGGATAAACTCTGAAATGTTCTTTTTTATGATGAACTTCACACTATTTCACTTCAATTTGTTATTACCAGCATCACAGACCACATTAACATTGTCATAAAAAATTTAAAAGCATATTTTGGGGAATGATTAGTAGTGTTGTGTGCCTGGAGGACAGAAAACATGCATAGGGATGTGGGAAGCAAAGGCCCAATGATCTTCACCTTTGAATTGGGAAACAGCTTTTCTGACCTTTTGGGGATCTTTGTTCCCAAAAAGTATAAGTCATTGGTCATTTATTTGATAAAAAATATTTTAAAAACTTCCGCTATTTCAGCAGCAGTCTCTTTATTCATCTACCAGTCACCGAGCAGTCAAATTTCTTATCTCCCAAGAAGCTCCTCCAACAAACCACCTGCCCACTAAACAAGATGGTAGACAATCTGAAGCATGTGTACAAACTTACCAGCTCTCTTTATTCTCTTCCTTTCCTTCAGCTGGTAAGGCTTGTGATCATGAGACAAAGGGATAGCATTCCCATCCTTATCACACAATACCCCACGTGAGTCTCCCACATTGGCCACTGTGAGATCTTTATCTGATAGCAGAGCAATCAAACACGTTGTGCCTGAAAAACAGAAGAGAGATGCAATGTAACAGGTCAGCAATGCACTGAGGTTCAGTTGCTTCTTGTGATTGTTGGGTTTTTTCAGTCATTAAAACTGTTCCTGCTGGGTGAGAATTTTACTCCAGTCACTTCCAGAGCAATAGTCATTCACTTAAGTAATACTGATCAAATCAGACAGTTCATTTTCTTGACTATGTTAGAGTGTCACTGAGAGAGTAGAGGATTACACTGTCATTTTCCCAAATTATTTTTGTCTCTGTTACCCTTCATTTAAACATATACTATATTTAAAATTATTAGAAGAGAATACAAATCAGCTTGACACTTCAGACAAAAGATACATAATTTTTTCATCTTATTCACAGAGATTCTATCAAGCTCCAAAAGAAAGTGGTGGGCTTCTCCATGGGAGGGGGCCTGGATGAGCCTGGAAATTACAGGTCTATGGGGATGAGAGGGAACTGTGTGGGAATACAAAGAACTTTTATGAAAAGACTGGTAAGCAGAACAATTTAGCTCCAGAGTGTGGCAGGGAAGTCTAAGAATATGAAAGCAGAAATATCAGGATAATACCAGAAATAAGTCCCAGGTAGACAAGAGGTGGGTGGTTGGAGTCAGAAAAGAGGCAAGACTGAAGATCTGCTCACTTGTATGTAGTTCAGGCAAGCCAAACAGAGGAGCTTTTCTAATGGGCCAATGCACCTCATGTGCAGCCACCATCTGTCAGTAGAGGCTTGTGGGTTTGCTATTTTATGTAATAGCTTTTAGTAAAGATTCCAGACTAAGATGGACTAAGAAGAAGAGTTTGATTATCTACTTCTGGAAATTAGTCTATGAAAAATTTAAAGATCACAATGGTTCGCTCCCCAGCTAATCATGGAGATAGGCAAGACCAGGTAGTGTTTCTTTCCACTGTGCATGGGGTCACCATGAGCAGGGGGCAAGAGGATGGCAGGTAACAGAAAGAGCATGGCAGGTAACAGCAAGAGTATGGCTTGAGGCAGTTAAGCCAATGTAACTCTTGAAGCTGTCTTTATGTATAGTACTCTTCTCACTCTGCAACTCTGCACAATTTCTGAGTCAACACACATGAGTTTGACTTCCACTATAATCCAAATCTATATTTCTAGACTGAGTGATATTCGTGAGGTCTATACCAAATACTGACTAAGCATTTTCATCTTTCTGTACCAGAGGCAGCTCACAGTGACAAGATAGTGGCAAAAGGCAATGAGTAGGCATTCTCCCTACCCCAAAACCATCTGCCACCCAAAATCAAACCAAATACCACCCAGTAAATTCTAACCAGATAGAACAGGCCTATAGGATTTCCAAGGTTATAATTTTTAGAATTGCTGATGTTTCAAACCGCTGCTCTTAATCAGTATCCTATCAGGGCTCATCAACAAGCATGTTGGCTTCAATTCCCTCCTTATCCATGCAGAAGCATTCATTCACTTCCTCTCATTCTCTATGACTTATCCATTGACAAATGTGTCTCCTACTCCCTATCCCTGTATTTATTACATTACTTCAGAGTCTCATGAATTGTGCCCATTCTGATGCTTCTAGTGTATGTTCTGCATTGTCTCTGCAGTGATCTTTTGTTAATACGTCACCGCTATTGTCAGGCACTACTGAGTCAACTCAGACTCCTAGTGATCTCAGGTACAACAGATCAAAACCTTGCCCAATTCTGTATAATATTCACACTCTGAAACCCATATGTAAAAAAAAAATCAATTATGGTCAGTCAGAATCCACTCTTAGCTGATCCTCCCACAGGTTTTCCAAGGCTCCGAATAAAACCTTTCTCTCATAGACAGAGAAATCTCTGATAGATTTGAACCCTCAGAAAGGCACTGGCATTTAGGTTAGCAGTGAAACTCCCTATGGACTTGTGAACAGATCTCCAACCACATATTAAAGTAAGCCGATTGTTTTAGAAATGCCCCTAATCCCTTTCAAAAGTATTATAAAGCAGCTCAACACAGCTAACAAATACAAACAGAGAAGCTCTAGCTGTAACAGTAGTGGAGAGAGCCTCAGAACTCAGCCAGGTGGTTCTGGCCCTTTCCTAACAGTGGTCTCAAAACATTTCTCTTGATTCCCTAGGACAGCACTGAAAATAGTGGGGGAAATAAATTATTAAAGTCACTGGCTTATGAAAAAGGCCTATCCTCTCCAATGTGGCATATATTCCTTCAGTCTCTCTTCCATATTGTACTCTGGACGTGTGAAACGATCAGAATTCTCGACTGCACCGGGTTCTTTCACATCTATGTGCCTCTGTCCATAATTCTTCTGTTTGGATGTGGACTGGTAGTTTTTGGAAAGGTAAAAGAGACATACAGGAAATGACATGTCTTTCAATGTTCCTCTTCATGTGTTTCCCAGAACAATGGCAGCACTGACGGCTAGGCAATCCTGAAGAATGGGAGAATAGAGAAGAGCCTGGGTCCCCTATAAAGCCACAGAACTGCTGAACCATGCTCTAGACATCTTTTTCTACACAAAAAATGTCTTTACTCTCTAAAGCTTTTAAAGTTATAAATTTTCTGCCTTTCAACATCCCATCTGATTCAGGTTTTTTAAACAAGAGATCAGAACATTTCTACTTTGATTTATCCACATTTTATGGTTATACTAAGATTTATGACTTGCCAATTCCTTTATCAAGAACACAATTCCACTGTTTCTATGAGTAAATAAGAGTCATTGGAGAAATTCAATATCAGTAGGGAAAACTACTGTTAGGTGCTGATTACGGAACTGACCATGAACTATTCATATGCAAGTTGAAATTAAAGCTAAAGAAGATAAAATCAAATCCACAGGAATAAAAATTTGACTTTGAGTCTGTTCCACCTGAATTTAAAAACCAACTTAGGAACAGGCTTGAAATCTTGAACACAAATGAATGAAGAACAGATGGGCTGTGGAAGGATATCATCCATGAAGAGGGAAGAAGTCATTACAAAGACAGAATGAGAAGAAACCAAAATAGATGTCAGAAGAGACTCAGAATATTGCACTAGAGTTCTGAGAAGCCAAAGCAAAGGGAAGAAATCAAGAAGTTAAGGAGCTGAACAGAAGATTTCAAAGGGTAACACAGGAAGACAAGACAAAGTATTATAATGAAATGTGCAAAGAACTGGGGTTCGAAAATCAAAACGGCTGAATTTGCTTAGCATTTCTTAAGCTGAAGGAACTAAAGAACAAATTCATGCCTAGAGTTGCAATACTTAAGGATGCTATGGGCAGAATATTGAATGATCCAGGAAGCATTAAAAGAAGATAAAAAGAGTATACAGAGACACTGTACCCAAAACAATTGACACAGAAGAATTTCAAGAAAAAACATATGATCAAGAGGCAATGGTGATGAAGGAGTAAGTTTAAGCTATTCTGAAGGACTTGAAAAAAAAATAAAGCCCCATAAACTGATGGAATACCAAATGACATATTTCAACAAACAGATGCTGCCCTGGATATGCTCACCAAGTTGTGCCAAGAAATCTGGAGGACAACTATCTGGCCAACTGACTGGAAGATATCCATATGTATTCTCATTCCAAAAAAAAAGGTGACCCAACAGAGTGTGGAAATTATTGTGCAATATCATTCATATCACACACAAGCAAAATCCTGCTGAAGATCATAGAAAAATGACAGGAACAGTACATTGACAGAGAACTACCAGAAATAGAAACTGAGTGTAGAAGAGGTTGTGGCACTAGAGACATTATCACCAATGTCAGATAGATCTTGGCAGAAAGCAGAGGACCAGAGAAATATCTGTGTTTCACTGACTATGCAAAGACTGTGTGTATTATAACAAATTGTGGTTATCTTGAGGAGAGTGGGAATCCATGGACTTTTGATTGTGCTTATGTGAAATCTATTCTTGTACCAGGAAGCAGTCCTCAGAACAGAGCAGGAAAACACTGAGGTTCAAAATCAGGAAGGGCGTGCATCAGGGATGCATCCTGTCTCCATAACTTTTCAATCTATATGCGGAACAGATCATTTGGAAGGCTAGGCTTTATGAGGAGAAATGTGGTATCAGGATTGGAGAAAGACTAATCAACAACCTATGTTATGCAGATGACACAACCTTGCTTTCTGAAATTGAAGAGGATCTGAAACACTTGCTGCTGAAGGTGAAGGATTGTAGTCTTCAATATGAATTGAAGCTCAACATCAAGAAGGCAAAGATTCTCACCACTAGGCCAACTGGCAGCACCATGATAGATGGAGAAGAGATTACGGTTGTTAATCTCATAGCTTGCTTGGCTCCACAATCAACACTTGATACCAGCAGTGAGGAAATCAAAAGATGAATTACATTTGGTAAATCTACTATCAGGGACCTTTCCAGAATACAAGCTACAATGTCGGTCTGGAGACTAAGGTGTACTTGGTCCAGGCCATGGTCTTTGCAATTGCTTGCTATGTATCAGAGAGCTGGACTGTGACTAATAATTGATGCCTTTGAGTTGTGGTTCTGGAGAAGAGTCTTGAACATTACATGAACTGCCAAGAAAACAAATGGTCTGTCTTGGAGAGGGTTAAACCAAGTTTCTCCTTGAAGGCTAGGATTTTGAAGCTCCATCTTACATACTTTGGGCATGTGGCCAGGAGGGACTGATCCTTGGAGGACATTATGCTCAGAAGGGTGGAGAGACAGCACAAGAGAGGAAGACCCTGGATGATATAGACTGATTCAAAACTAGGGTAATGAGGGTGTGTTGGAGTTAGTGAGACTGGCTCAGGACAGGGAAGGCTTCAGAGCGGTTGTACATATATAGTCATTAGGAGTCACAGATGATTCAACAGCACATAACAACAACAACAACAACTCATGATGATTATTCCAAGACAATAGTAAGTTGAGAAAATATGAACTGTGCCTATGGTATCAGCAGAATCTTAGAGCAGCTTAAATTAGTAAGTTCCTGAAGGCACCTAAAAGGGAAGAAGCAGGAATTAGTTAATTA